GGGAGCAGAACAGGCAGATCGACAAAGTACACTGCTGAGGGGAGCAGCGGGCGGGTCTGGAGAGGTCTGCCACGCCATGTGGACTCCTCCGGGGCAGGCGGGAATCGAACTCATTGCGGAAGTGGCTTAAGCTTCTCAGTGCAGTGCTTTAACCCGCTGCGCCACCAGGGAGGGCCTAGTTATATATATTTTTTTACTGTTGCTTAGAAAGATTCTTATTTTCCTTTTTTTTTTTTCAGTGAAATTGAAAAAAGTGTTCTGAATATTTTCATGAAAGATTATGATAATATTCAGAGAGTTCAATTCAGCACTACTAACATTCCACCTATTTCACGTCTAATTTGGTTTAAATTTCAATGGTTAAAATTCTGATTATTTAACAAATCAACTAGGAAAACAAAGAACAACCAGGACACCATTTATAATGGTGTGTGAGCAAGTGCTCCAGGTTGTAATTCATTCTCTGGCTGTCTGGGGCCTTAGAGGATAAACTCCTGGGTTGGCCAGGGAGGAATAATGAAAGCATATAGAAATTACCATAATAAAGAAAAATTGAGTATGTGTTACCAGGCATAGGTTAGCAAAAAAAGTTACTGGGTGCTTGGTGCTGATGTTGGTATCATTTCAGTATATGTTTTAGCTTAGAATAGTTGAGCAGGAAACACCATGTGGTTAAATACAAAAAAAAGAAAAAAGAAAAAAACCATTTATTGACCTACACTGCTTAATCCTGGTGCTTAAAAAATGAGTAAGAACTCCAGGTACTCATTCTGTGGGAGCACCAGAACTGCAGACAAGCAATGCCAAAATGAAAGATACTAATAAACAAATTTGTACAATTAGTTCTTGTATAAACCAGTGAGAAAGGTGACAACTGAGTGGAGTTTTGAAGAATCAGTACATTTGTGAGTACATGGGAAGGATTAATCATAATTTCAGTGAAAAGAAGATAAAGTGATGATTTGCTTGTAATTTTACATTGTGGTTTGGTAACCAATAAAGACTCCATTATTGGACATCCAGAAAGAGAATAGTTGTTTGGTAAAGCTGTGTATGACGGGAGTCAGGAGGGGATGGAATTGGAAATACTGCTAAATTAGAAATACTTACTAAAGAGTTAGAAAGAGTTCCCAGAGGGAAGAGAATAGATATTTCATTCTCAAAAATTCTCGTGACAATCGGTTTATTTTAGGCCCAATTTTAAGAGTAATACTTGAAGTAAATCTTTTGGTTTAGTCAGGCACTCAGTACAAGAAAAGTCAAATCAAATGTTGGAGAGAATAGAGTGATGACCTAATCTTGTGTGTATATGTATACACAGGGGTGGAAAAGATGAAATCTATGTCACAGCTTTCAGTTTTGTCAAGACGGTGGAGACCTTCAGAGATGAAATTAGATCCCTTCCAGGAGGTTGTACTGGAGAGCAGTAGTGTTGATGAATTGCGAGAAAAGGTAAGTCCATTTTAACAAAATGAACTAGTAATGAACTTGCTTTGTTGCATAAGAGGTATCCATCAAGGAGTGCCAGACACTCATTCAGTGACTTTGTTTCTGTCTTACCTATGCCACAACCTTGTTTTTTAGTGCTTCTCATGCTTTGAAAAATTATGTCGGTTTCTGGTCTTTTATAAATGGACCCTCACTTTCTGTTACCTGAATCAATTTTGTCCTAAATAGTTAGGATTAGTTAGAAATTACTAGGGTAAGTTGCTTTATGTATTTAAACGATCAAATGAAGAAGAATTGAATAGAAAATCCAAATGAAGGTGTCCTTTGCATTTTGCATTTTAAAAGTGGAAATTATAAAAATTACTAGTGAAATGGTGAAGAAATGGTACTAGGATAATTTGGCATTTTGGAAAAATAAAATATTTCTTTATTTTGTGCCAAACACACAAATTTAATTATATTGAGTTTATACATACATACATACATACATACATACATATATATATAAAAAGTGTACTGAAAAAATAATATTGAAAGATATTTTAAGCCTAATCATACAAAAAATACAGACAACATAAATCTTTAAATCATCTGCATAGACAACAAAATTTAAAAAAAAACCTGTAAACAAAACTAAAACATAATTTTTAAGTATGTGAAACCTTTATCAAACTTGATGTTCACAATTTATAAGGAACAATTAGTCTACTTTTAAAATGGGCCGAGCATAAATAGGCAATTCATAGAAGAAATGCAAGTTTAAAAATACTTGGAGCTGTGAAAGTTTAGGGAGAGCAAGCAAAGTATACCTTTCATAAGTGGTTAAATAACATTTTTTCAGGATTCAAATTGGTTGATTACCAGCATTTCAGATATGTAATTCTACTAAGAATTCAATATTAAGAATAGAAATATTTGCAAACATATGGAGCTATATAATATTGCATTGTAACTGGGAAAATTAAAAACAAGCTAAATAGGGGGGAAATGTATTTTTCAGCTATTGAAGAGAATGAAGTCACAAAGTATATGTATATAGACTATATTAAATTACTTAATGTTCATAACTATAATTTATTCACTCCAGAAATGCATGTATGTATAGGAAAAGATCTTGAAGGGATATACTATTGTTATTTCTGGGACATAGCATTTACAGGGTAGATAAGAGATTTCCACTGGGGGGGGAGGGTTTCCTGATATTTTTATCTAAATCATAATACTTTGTTTAAAAAATCTTAGCTATAAAGTGGTAGACGGAAAATAACTTTCTAAGAAGATTTACTTTAAAAATAACCCCATGTAAAATATTTCCTTTTACAGCTCTGTGAAATCAGTGGAATCCCTTTGGAAGACATTGAATTTGCCAAGGTAAAGCCCTGACAGTATTTGCATCTGGGGAATAGTGCTTGATATAAGTGTAGCTAATAGCATAATTTACTCATTCATTCTTTCTCCTTAGGGTAGAGGAAATTTTCCCTGTGATATTTCTGTCCTTGATATTCATCAGGATTTAGACTGGAACCCTAAAGTCTCTACCCTGAATGTCTGGCCTCTTTATATCTGTGATGATGGTGCAGTCATATTTTATAGGTAACTTTCACAATGATTTTGTTATTTCTAGTGACTTACTATTTTTGTTGTACATAAATACCTTGTTTATATTATTATTGTTATGACATAGATCAGCCCTGACCAGCAGAAATAAACTGAACATTTTGAAATTTTCTAGTAGTCACATATTAAAAAGTATAAATAAACAGGTACAATTAACTTTAACAAAATATTTCAAACCCATACATCCAAAATATTATTGTAATGACTTGTAGTCGTAAATATAAAAATCACTTCTATTTTATATTCTTTTTCTTGTACTAAGTTTTAGAAATACTGTATTTATGTTATACTTACAAGTACATTTCAATTCTTAATGTATCTGTATTAGGCACATGTATCTATGATACTGGACAGTGCATATTTGGAGAAAAAAGAATAATTGTTGGAGCCAGATAGATGTGGGATGAGATTTAGCCTTGTACTTACCTGGCTGTTCATCTGTTCAGTGGCAACAGTGATGTCAACCCAGCAAAATTTTATGAGAATTAGAGCAATTGTATTTAAAATGACTCTGTTATAAATAGTTATCAATAAATGACAGTAGTTGTGGAAGTTTTTTATGCCATTTTAAAAGTGAGAAATACATTAGTATAATAAACACATTAAACTAGGACATCTTAGTATATGAGAATTTTTACCTTCTCCAGTGACAGATTTCATTCTCACTGAGGAACATAATAGAATTCAAGCATAAACTACTGGAAGCAGATGGCTATATTGTCTAATGTGTCATTCATATCTTAAATATAGGGATAAAACGGAAGAATTAATGGAGCTGACAGACGAGCAAAGAAATGAACTTATGAAAAAAGAAAGTAGTCGACTTCAGAAGACAGGACACCGTGTGACGTACTCACCTCGGAAAGAGAAAGCACTAAAAATATATCTGGATGGAGCACCAAATAAAGATCTGACTCAAGACTGACTCGGCTAGTGTAGCATTTTCCCTGGGGAACTTTTGGTTTTAATTAGACGGTTCACTACTACTGTGTAGTGCCATTATGGCCGGACATGGTTAGGGGTAACCCAGTGACACCAGCACTGATTGGGACTGCCCTTCACCAATCAGAAGCTCAGTGCCCAATGGGCCACTGTTTTGACTTGGAATCATGTTGTGCACTATAGTCAAATGTACTGTAAAGTGAAAAGGGATGTGCAAAAATATAAAAGCAAAAAAGTAAAACCTGCTACTAGTAAAGGGGAAGGGGATGAGTACACTTCTTTTATTGTGGACAAATGTGCACATAGCCGCTAGTAAAACTAGCCTCAAACAGGATGCTCATAGCTTAATAATAAAAGCTGTGCAAAGGCCATGAATGAATGAATTTTCTGTTTATTTCACTGATACACACATTACCTCATTGACAATTGGGAAGTAAATGCAACGTGTGTTGACTCCTGAAAAGCAGCATAAAGAGCTGAAGAAAGAAATTCTTAGAACCAGCCGTAACCCAGTAAAGAATTGTGAAGTTGTGTTTTTAATTTCTTTCATTTTTTTTGCTAAGTATTAAGAACATTATTCTGAAATATCAAGATGTTTCCCTTAAACCGCTCCCAGCAGGTGGCAGCTCAAATTGCTGCAATATTGTAATTATAACTGATTGTACTTAAGTTATGGATGTAGACAGTATGTTTCACTCATTCATTCAGCATGTAAATAAAATTGATCCTATTGAGTTATCATAATTGCAGTTCAACTATTTCCCATGGTTATTCTTTTTCACGTATCATCAAATGATGTACATTTGTGTACATTGAAAAGTGTAAGTCTATGTAAATGTAATCCTCAGTGAGGTTCCTCAGTGCTGGGTCCCATACGACTGTATTTGCCCTTGTTAATGAGGTTTTTCTGTTGCAGCTTCAATTTTTTCCTTTTTGTACACTTGTTTTTGAAGTTTTACTTCAAGTTTAAATCTTCTAGAATCCTTGTAAGTCCCACTTTAAGTTTTGGAGTTAATTTGTAGCTACATGTAGTTTTAACTTTGGGGAAACATCTTAACATCGTGTTGAATAAACTTGCTAGTAAGTCAGGTCATGGCACAACTGATATAGTGAACATGATTTCATTGCAAAGTCTATAAGAATTGGCAAATTTTTGCTTTGCTAAATACAGTTATTCAGTGAACACAATTCTAGTAAATTTTGAAAATGCCATCTAATTTATAAAAATCAATAAAAAGGTTTTGGTAAAACTTTTTCATGCCAGATGCTGTTTACAACAATGAACATGCCAATAAAACATTTGTTCATTCTGTTGTGTTATGTTAGTCATTAAACTTTTGTGGATGAAGAATATGGGTTAACAATAGATTTGCTTTCTTTCAGTGTAACATCTTGTGTATTATTTCTGTGATAAGGTGTTTATAGTAAACTTCTCACAAGAGATGAAAAGATGTTAATATTTAACTTTGGAGGATCGTTACTATTTCAAAATTGGATTTTTATCCCTTTTTTCTTTTAAGAAAATATAACTAGAAAAATAGTATTGCCAGATGTTGACTCTGCAATTAGATCATAGTGATTATTCCGTAATATTTTAAAAGCCTCTTGGAATCCTTAAGGCAAAAAATTCTTTTCTAAGATACTTTTCTTAGTAATTTTCATTTCATGTAAACTATAGCATTTTACTAAATTTGAAATACTGTTCTAAGTGTGCATTTAATGGAATCATTGTGTACTCTGGAAAAATTGAAGCATTTGTGATGAATCATTTGAATTGGATTTTCTGATATAACGAGCTGTTTGGTTCTGATACAGGCCTGCTTAGTTGGGCTATGGGGTCGAATCAGGTTTCTGCTTTCCAGGACTGACTCTGGCACAATTAAAGCCCTCCCTTCGCACCCCTAAATGGGCTTTGGTATGTTTTGGCTTGAGTTAGTGTTCTTATAAGAGTAATGGCAAAAATCTTCTCAAGCACCTCATTCTGTGCCTTCTGCCCTGTTTTGTGTTTGCTGCTTCTACTGGCAGGCATAGTACAAATATCAAGAGTAAAGAAAAAATGTTATAAAAAACACACTAGTCACGGGCCCTCCCTGGTGGCGCAGCGGGTTAAAGCACAGCACTGAGAATCTAAAGCCGCTTCTGCATGAGTTTGATTCCCGCCTGCCCCGGAGGTGACCACATGGTGTGGCAGACCTCTCCTGGCCCGCCTGCTGCTCCCCTCAGCAGTGTACTTCTTGATCTGCCTGTTCTGTTCCCCACTCTGTCTCTGGTGAAGCCTCTCACCGCCCCTGAGCCTCTGGCCTATACCCCAGTTCTGTATGCACAAATAAATAAATCTTAAAAAAAGAAAAAAGAAAAAACACACTAGTCACTTTGCAGTGCCTGATAAGGTAAAAAAGAGTTGCACTTTAATCAGTTTAAAAGGTATGGTGACCTTAGGGGTTTGTGGAATTTCCATTAGGGACTCGATGTGTCAGCCTTTCTCAGATTTAAAGAATCAAGTGATCACCTGTAAACCAAGAGGCTGTTGTTCATGTGCCCTGGGTTAGGGGACCCTGTGATTGCTCATCTCTTGATTCCTGAGGCTGAATAGGCCATGTGCACTAACTTGTGACCTTGCTTTCCAAAGTCACCCAAACTTAAAAGCATTTTTTACCAAGGGGCAAGATACATTTGTGTCAGTCAGCCATCTGCTTCTCAAACTAAGGAGGTTTGAGAATGGCATAGGAGCCATGATGAGATAAAAACAATGAGTGAAGCTCACTTAGGATGTTTGATGATGTGTATGGAATGCTATAAAATTCTGAAAATGGGGATGAAATTAGGTCACAACTAGAAAATGATCAAGTAGACGTCAGTTGCTAACATTACCACATCTGTATTGGTGGCTCATCCTGAGGTTGAGAGTACAAACCTACATCCTGAGGGTGGTTTAATAGAAATGCATGCAGAACATCAGAGCATTGCAGTGTTGTTACTGAATCTGAAAGTGACCTGTGATTGTATGGAACACAATAAAGTCATCAGGTTCATTGGCCAATATTTCCAGTTGGCTAGTTGTCCCTCTGAACTGTGTCCCTTTGTCAAGACTAACCAACTTCTTTCACATTACAATTTGCAAATTACAATCTAGCATACATAGAATGGAAGCTAATCTGAATCAAACAATTCTGTGTAATTTTGGAATACCAGTTAGTTGCTAGCAGTCAAAAGTCTTCAGATCATAAATCATTAAATACTAAATTTTGTGCGTGTATAATTTTCTAGAGGGCTAGTAACGTGTTGTAAAATCAAGCATGTAGAGGAATTTGCAGCCCAAATAAAGCCACCTGTGTTAGTCTAAATGAAATCGGAAGCTGCGGCTTAGGTGCAATTCATATAGGGAAGTGGGGGATTATGGTCATTTGACTAGGTACTGATTTTCAAAACTTGGCTTTCAGATTGATTCAGAAACAAGACTTGACAAAATCAAGACTGCCTCAAAGTATGTGTGACTATGTAGAACAGAAAACAGCCATGACTAGAGGACTCATTATTCCCTCCCCAGCCTCTGCTTCTTGTGACCAGCTAATCAGTGCAACAGAAACTTGCCTTCTGATTGGTCAGAACCTGAGAATGCCTGAGACAAATGATTTGTGGAACTATAGCCTTGCTTGAAAGGTGAGGGCCACCTTTCTTTGCTCCCAGCCTGCCACCTCCCATAGTACAGTACACCCACTTGGCTCAGTGTAATAAGTAACATATAATTAAGGAGTATCAGCTTGGTGAGATACAAACATGTAATGATTTGGTCTCCAGTAATTATACCAACTGTCCTACAAAATGCATTTTCCCACTAAAAGTGCATGTAAACAGTAGCTATAACTTTAGTTGCTTTACATTGTTTAACATTTAAGCTATTTGATTCCTTTCTCCTCCAGGCCTTCCCACCCTTATACACACACTGTCCATAGACAGTGTGCCACAGTACTTCTGCAGCAGCACTAGGATGATGAAAGAAGTAAGAATGGGGAAAAGTCATCATTAGAAACAGACTCGAGGTTGTCATGGTGAGTATCATCTGGTCACTTGAGCTTGTGGACTTGAAGATGTGATGCCTTTGACATCCTACGAGCAAAGGACTCATCTCCACAGCCTTGGTAATCCCTCATGAAATGACTATTGGTCCCCTGACTGCCAGAAGAGACATTCCTCTAAAATGTGTCACTTCCGTGCCCATTTCTGGCGGTGGAGCTATTAGAATTTTCTTTGCCTCTTTTTCCTTGCTAGTACAACCCACCATCTCTCCCCAGTGTTCCTCTTCCTGTGGAAGGTTGGTAACAGTCAATGTGTCCTATAGCATTGCACAACCTTCACTGAGATATCCATAGCTTCCATAAAATTTTGACTGAAAGTCCCCCTATAGGTTTTAGCATTTAGTTCCCCCTCCCTCATTGGTCACCCATCCACTGCAATTGACCAAAACGGAGCTTCCTACTGCCCTCTCCCCCCCGCCCCCGGCCTTCACTATGTAGGTCAACTATCCTGCTGTTGCTGACATGCACCTCTCAGGAAGCCCTGTATGAAGGTCTCTAGCCACACAGCTGTTGATCCTCTGAACTTGGAAATCTAGGTTAACTATCAAAAAGTATTTCAAAATAATCCGGTTGCATTTCCTGATTCTGGAGGAGGTACAGAGGATATACAAATGCCTAACTCCCCTTTTCTCATCCCACCCTCTTCCCTCACAGCACAGCAGTCTGCTCACTTCTCGCTCCAATGCTTCAATCCTTCTGTCCTGCATCCCTTTCTCAACTATTTGTCAGACCCCACCCCCACCCCCAAAACTAGATTAATGAGGCTGAAGAAGCCAGGCACTTGGAGGAAGAGGAGGAGGTACCGAACAGGAGGGGATGCGCTGGAAGTCAGCAGGAACTATTTGTGTCCCCTCACCTTCCTGTCCATCCTGAAACCCATGGGCAGGCATCGCGGCCATCCTTGTCTGTGAGGTCAGCGAGTAGACTCAGGCTGCGCCACACCTGCTAACATTGATTCGTAATCAATGTTTTTCCAGATCTGTGACTTGGGGTGGTGGGAAAGTGGGTGGAGTGGGACTTAGACCTGTACTTTTTACCTCTCAGCTGGTCATCTTGCAAGTAGCTCCTGTATTGGGAGTGCTTCTGGCTTGAAATAGCAGAAGGCTAATAGCAACTTCATAAAAATACTGATGGCTTATTTTAAAGGAGACAGCCGGACTTGTTCCTTCCTCTGCATCATGGAGGACTCAGAGTCATCCTTCTTTGGTGGTAGAATAATGGTCCCCCAAAGAAGTTCACATCTTATACCTAGATCCTGTGAAAATTTACACTGTGAAAAAAGACTGAAGTTGTGACAAAGGATAAGGACTTAATGGGAATCTGGATTATCCAGGAGGGTCCAACCTGATCACTTGAGTTCTTAAAAGTGGAACAACCATTTCCACTTGGCAAAGAACCAGCGAGATGACATTTAAAGAGAAACCAGTTACTGCTCTCTTCCTCAGCCAAGAGCAGAGGAAGAAGACCCTTTTGAGGAAAAAAAAAAAAAAAAAAAAAAAAAACAAGGCAGGGAAATGATTTCTTCCCTAGAACTTACAGAGAAGGCAGCGTTACTGACACCCAGTAGCCACAAGCTGGCTGTTGTGAGCCAAGTAGCACAATGTAAACTACTGTGCTCAGAGGCGACCAGCGAGAAGTGATGGAGCAGCTTTCCTTTCGTGTGCCTCTTTGGTCACTCAGGGAAAGAGATCCTTCCCAGAAACTCTCTGGCAGCTTTCCCCTTACAAATCCTGGACTAGAGCTGGGTCTTGTGGCTATCTCAGTAGCAAAAATCTAGCTTCTTGTATCCTGGTTTGGTGGATGAAGACGGGCAAGGAAAGAGGGGTGGGACTAGCTGTTGAGCAGTTACAACTTGGAGCGTCTGGTACACCTAAGCCCTGCGTTCCCAGGTCCTAAGGGTGGTCCTGCTGCCCAGGTGATGCAGTCAGTACTGAGCACATGTGCGCCCAGACTCCCCAGGTTTGCCCTCAGACCTTGGCAGGCCACCCCTCTATGTTAGGCTGACTTAAGACTTACAGTGATAGCCTTCTATGTTCTAAGCTGACTTATTCCCACTATGTGCAGTTTCCAGGTTTTTCTTAGCAAGCCAGTTGCCATCTTGTCACTACAACTCTCACTCTCGAACACCACCCTGTACCCTCTTTCGCTCTCTTTATGTAAATGCATTCTGTTGTTGTCCCCACATGTCTGTTTTAAGTGGTGTCCTGCAGGTATAACTTTTGAGGTTGAGAACCTGCCAACTAGCTGAGTCACTCCCCCTTCCCTGTGAGTTTTGCTAGCTTTCAAAATAACAATATCCAGCCCCTCCCTGGTGGTTCAGCAGGTTAAAGCACCTCACTATGAGGTGATCTGTAGCCACTTGCGCATGTGTTAGATCCCCCACAAGGGAATTACCACATGGTACAGCAGACTCTTCTGTCCCGTCTGCTGATCCCCTCAGCAGAATATTTCAGTGGATCCACCTGTTCTGCTCCCTACTCTGTCTCTGGTGAATCCTCTCACCCTCTGCACTTTGACCTGCACCCCAGTTCTTATATGCATAAATAATCTTTAAAACAACAACAACAACAACAATATCCTTCATTGCTTCCTTGGTAGGAACTGTGAATTCCAGAGCAACAAAGACAGTAAATTTCAAGTTTCAAAACCTCACCTAAGCCTGAGTACACTAGATATACCAGATATATATCTGAGTACACTAGATATACCAGATTCTCTCTGGATTTCTTCTGCTACATAAAAGAGCTTATGCATAGTTTATCATTTAATATTATCTCCCTGGCACCTAATATTCATTATAGGACCTGACATAAAAGGGTGCTCAGTAAATTTATTACTAAATGAAATAAATGCTCTTCTCCAAATGCTGATTTGCTTCTCCAAATGCTCATTCAAATTAACCTTGCTGCTTAGTTGCTGTGGGTTACTTGAAGCTTCCTTTATATGACACCCCTCCTTCCATTCTCACCCTCCCTCCTGTCCATGGTTCAGAATGCCTCTTCCTCTTCCTTCTGGCCTGACAAACTACTGTTTTCAGAGCTGGTTTCCATGCAACTCTCCCATGTTGAGTCTCCTTTGAGGTGCCCGTGACCTGGGGTCTCTGCTTTTTGCTCTGTTTGGTGTTTGGTTTAGTGTCATTAGACTGTGATGCCTTCAGGGGAGGGGTCCTGTCTGGATCAACTTGACATAATCAAGTTCTGAGCAGGCTTCCCATGAATATCTGTTGATTCGTAAAGAAGTAGAGCAGTCCTAATGGTTTTTGATGTTGAATAGAGAACAATCTTTTTATTATCACTATATCCTGAGCTCACTATACTAGATATCTTTTTACTTCTAGTTCTATCAGTCTTTAAGCCTCTATTTTTTCATCTATTCAATGAGGAAAACACTCATGGATTCAATGAAGACTAAGTGAGTTAATATAGGTAGAATGCCAATTCTAGAGCCTGTCACTCAGCTGATCTTAATATATAGTAACTTTATAGCCTAAATAGTCTACTGCGTTATGGCTCAGAACTGGATTTGATTAAAGAAAGCTTCTATGAAGAGTCATAGTGACTGAGAAAACAGTGAATCATTAATCCCCAAATTATTAATATTTCTAAAATATATTGATGCTAAAGAAGTGTGCTTCAGTTGTCTGGAAAATTTGCTTCGATGAAGAGAGGGTTTGTTTTTTGACAAAGTAGGTTATTTTATTTTTCTGGCTGAAAGGGTTTTATATTTATTCAACATCAAAAAGAAAAAGTGTCCAAGAACTGCAACAGAGTAGTTTAAGTGATTTATGCTTGATTTTAAATGCAACATATATGTTTATACATAATTTAAAAATCAATGAAAGCATGCTTATACAATCATGGGCAGCTTTAACATTTAATAACTCTAGATGAATCCATGATGGAGTCAGTCCCTGGCACCTGGGGATATCATCTGTGGACCAGCACAGTCCAGTGCTCTCAGTCTAGATATTACAACCATATTTCACAGAGCTGTGTTTGCTCTGATTTTTCCCCCAAGTGGTTGACAACAGTCTTCAGACCGTTGCTTGCTGGTAAGGGATTTTGCAGATTTCATTTCTAATCCTTACTCTACAATTATTTCAGTGCTGTTTCTAGCAAGTTCATGTATCTAACCACATACTTTCACTGAGGTAACTAACTGCCCTACAGGGCAGGGTCAAACCCTTGAATGCTGCCATTTCTAACAGTAGAAGTTTAATCTTACCGGGACTCATGAGCTAGTATCACCTTAATTCCAGATGTGCCTCAAAAAAAGAAAAATTCTATGCTTATTTAGGGTATATTTTGGTGGCACTGAGGCTAGTGAGGAATAGTGAAGAGAGCATTGGAGATTTCATTGGTGAAATCCTGCTCTGGTCTTCATGAGCTGTGTGATTTGGGCTAGCAACTGGAGGTCTCTGAGCCTCAGAGAGCCTCACCAGGCTGTAGTGAGAGCTTGAATCAGTCGTGGAGGGGAAATTGCTGTTCTGGCACAGAGGTAGGAGCTGAGTGACACGTACAAAGGATGGATGCACATACCAAGGCTTGAGCAGAACAGTGCATCTGCAGCAGATGAAGGCACAGCTCGCTAGGCCTGGGAAGAACTGCCTGGAAACTTTGTTTGTTGCATTTTCTCCAGGTTTAAGTTTGCAAAGCAGGGCCCTCTTCTCATGTATGAGAGTCAACATTACCCCAAACCCACCGTGGGGAAATTCGGCATCCTCTTCCACCCCCCTGTCCTTCAACAACGCTCCAGGCAATAGAACAAAATGAAATGTGCCATCTGCCAACCATAGAGGCAAAGTGCTAATACTTGGCCCAAATTAGCAGCTCTGTTCTGCCTTCACCCTCCCACACCGAGTCCCCCCTACCCGGCACCAGAACTGTGATGCATGGGGTACATCTGGGAGAGCCGGACGGACACAGAACGTCTCAATTTGTTTCAAGCCAGAAGGGGAATTGTACTGGGAAGAGACCATGGAAAAAACCTGGTGAACTTGCTCTTAGAGGACACAGCTGGGGAAATAAATTAGCTGCTTCTATTGCACGTCTACCCACAGAACAGCCCGCCTCTAAATCTCTTCTCCCTCCAGCAGCCTGGAGGCCACAGGCTCCCCGAACACCATTTCCATAGACAGGCTTCTCTCCAGATCCTCCAGCTCCTGGCGCACCTCCTCAATGAAGCCGCCGTCTTCATACTCATTGGGGACCTCTCTGGGCACCAGACTGTCTCCGTCCTCATCACGGCTCCCGACGAAGGCTGGCTTGCACACATATACCAGGCTGTGGCTGGGGAGACACGGGACTAGCTCAGTCAAGGCCTGTGTCTCCCCACAGAGGCAAACTGGGCTCTGAGTGGGGGGAGGGCATGGACATGATGGCCAGGCCTGAAGCCAAGTGCACCTGCTCTAATATCCAACGGAGCCTTAGCTTCGTGTCAGCACCCAACCTTAAAGAAGGCTGCTGAGCAAGGATCAGTCCTGGAGGTATTACACCTGATGGGCATGCCCCTCCCCAGCTGCAGGTCTGATGCCCCGCTCTTGACTCTCCAGGCCCAGCAACCAGCACAGTCCTTGAGGACTCCGGGCCTGAAGCCTAACTGCCCATATGCTGAGTCCAGGGGACTCGTGGGACACATGGGGGACCTGTCTGTCTGCCAGTCCCCTAGGTCCTGCTGGGACAGAGGTTTGAGCAGTGCTGGCTGAGAGATTCGGCACGATATGTTTGGAGTGACTGGCCAAGTCACAACTGATGCTACATAGTGTCTCAGCGGCTAGGACCTGTGGGCAGTGTCTGCACCCCAACTTCCTCTCACTGCCTTGACTTCCCTCCCGCCCCTCCGCACCTTTTTAGCCACCTCCACCATCCTCTTCTCTGCTTGGTCCTCGTCGTATGGGCCTGGACGCCCTCCCTACCCTTCAGCTCTTCTCCTTGGGATGTTCACTCCTGAGCCCTGCATCTGTACCCCACACCCTACACACCTGACTGCTAGGGGGCCCTCCATCCCAGCGACGTGAGGGTATCTCAGATGAAATCTCTTCTAGCCTGAATCCACATCTCCCTCCTCCTCCTGCTCCCTCCTCCTGACTGGGAGGCACTTCATCAGCTCTTCGCCCCCACAGGGCGGGCAGGTAGCTCCTCACCTGTGAGGCTGGCAGAGAAGGCCACTGGCACACGGGCATCGGTCCAAAGCTCCCTCAGGCTCTAGCTCCCAGGTGATGAGGTCCAGAAGCCGACTGGCGGGGTCATGGCACAGCTCGCCCTCCACAGGCAGCGGTGTGCATACAGGAAACAACAGGCCTGCAGTGGCCAAGAGTCACCCTGTGTGCCCAGCACCAAGTAGGCAGGCACCAGGGAAGGGAGCAGAGAAAAGAGGTGCAGCTGCCCACCTTCCACCCTCTGCCCCAAATGGAGGTGACATGAGAGGAAGCAAAATGGCAGCATGGCTCAGGAAGGAGTGAGCCAGATGGCTGGACCCAGGCTAGGAAAGGTGGGTTTGTGCCGGGTTTGGAGGTCAAAGGTCAGGGGAAGTGGAGCATGGAAGAAAGGGGTTCAGCATTGGTGGACAGCAGCAACAAAGGCTGGCGTGGGGCACAGTGGGAAAAACTGGGGCAAAACTTGGCCAAAGGGCCAAGGAGTGGTAGGTAGAGAGAAAGAGACAGGTAAACAGCTGACAAAGGCCTCGGAGGGCAGATGGAAGGGCCTAACGGAGTGAGAGAAGAGGAGGATGCAGCTCCTAGGGGAGGGATACCTGGGCCATCTTGACACCTGCCACAACAGCAGGGGTTGGGGAGCTAGGAAGGTGGGAGGCTGAGGGCGAGAGAAGCACCTTGGGAATTAGGGCTGAGGTCAGGGGCTACCTTGTGGCCTGGGGGATGTGGAGTGGGACTGGGGAGGGCCCGCGGGGACCAGCCCTCTCCCCTCTGCACCCCTTCCCCCACCCCGTGGTGGTCTGCCTTCCCTGGACCTGTGCAGCCTGATGGAGCTGAACTGTATAGGCACCTGCCGGGTCTGAACCCGGCAGTGCTGTGAGGCTGCAACACTTGCGTGAGAATTTAGTAAGAGTCTTTCCAGGAAGGAGGAACCCTAAAAGAGCGTGGTTGACATGAGCCTGGCCGCAGCAGGGGGCACCCAGCGGGAGCCACCCACCTCTCTGGAAGGCACAGCACAGCCCGGGTTGGCAGTCCCTCTGGTTGTCGCAGATGGTCCCGTTGCCGCCTTTGGTGGCTGTTTTCGCGCAATGGCCCCAGATGCACAGCTGATCTCCACAGCACTCGCTGTCCCGAGTACAGAGCTGCAGAGAGGTGGGAGATGCACTGGCCCCCAACTCACAGAGGCGGGAGCCCCGCGTGTCACCACCCTGGCCTGGGAGGCGTGGAGACAGGGAGCGCGCTGACCTCCACCCCAACTGTAGAGCTGGAAACTAAGACCCAAGGCTGCTGACTCTCAGTGGAAGTCAAGAAATCCGGGGGGTGGGAGGGGAGAGATCCTGAGCTTGGTAGGATGGCAGGGGAGCCCCAAGATAAGGCATTGGGGCATCTTATTTCTGAGTCTTCCTGCCCAGCTGGAGACTTTACAAAGGATGGTGGCCCGACCGCACTCAGCGGTGACCCTGGGCGTGGCAGGCGCAGGGGACGACAGCAACGGCCTAAGCTCGGACAGGGTCGGGCTGGCTAGGGGAAGCTCTCCCCTTGCTGAACACATTTGTCTTGCTGTGTTGTTGTCTTAATAGCGAAGGGGGACTGTACGTCTACAAGGCCATCTGGCTTTGTCCAAACAGCCCTCTGTGGAGTGTCCATCAGGGGTGTCCTCAGGCTTCTTCCTGGCCCTCCCTCTACCCTTTTCCTTTGGGAAAATTGAGAGTAAGATCTGGGACAGTGGGAGGGGTCTTGCTGCAGGCCAGGAAGGAGAGAAGCTACCCCTACCCTCTTCCCTGCTGGGAGGCTGCAGTGGTCACCAGCCATGTCTACAGGCCTGTCTTGCCCAGAGGAAGAAATAGGTAGCTCTGCCTTTGTCCTCCCTCTCTTCCCTGTCATCCCTGGGGCCAGGGCTCAAGGGGCAGTGGGGTGGCAGCAGGCCTGCTGAGGGATCCCCAGGATAGCTTCCTGGAGTCAGCTCCCTTGGGGTCATGGAGAGACTCTTGTAAGCATGGAAAAGGTAGCTCCCTGAAGGGGCTTCTGGAGCCCAACTGGGAGCCCCGAGCCCCTTTTCCGGGCTCCCACGGCCTGGGCGCTGCAGCCCTGAAGCACAGGCACACTCACTGTCTGCTGCTCCTGGCACTGCTGGCAGGTGTACTCGAAGCTGGCAAACTGGCAGTACCTGGCGGGCCCACAGTCCTCATCGATGATGCACTCCTGGGAGAGGGGAGAAGCGCTTCATCAGTGAGGTGGATCAGCAAACCCACAGTTTCCAGTGTCCTGGAAGGACAAGCCCCCTTTTATCCGCAGTCTCCCCAGCCCCTTGTACCCCCACAGGCTGAGGGTGCTCAGGAATGCTCTCCAGTGTTCCCCAACTCCCAAGTCCTGCCAGTTCCCATTGTTTAGAGCTCCACTCCCTCCAGGCCAAGCCTTACCCACACAGCCTCCAGGATGCCACACCCAGCTCACACAATTGCCTCCTGTGTGCAGGGCTCCCTCTCACTCCCAGGGTGGGAGCAGGAGACGTGCCCAGTCGGCCATGCGGAACAGATGGATTTAATAAAAACACTAATGGGTTCCAGGCTCCTGCAGTTGCAGGAGGGTTGGCAGCCAGGCCCAGGGGGGCCTGCTGAAGGGACACGGCCACAAAGACCTGGTGGCCGTAGTCCTGCCCGGCAGGGAGCCTTCCTCAGGACCCTGAGTGGGGTCCAGGCCCACCAGGCAAAGGCAGCTCCCACCTTCCACAGAAGGAGAAGGTGTGTTGCTGCCACGGGAGCGACCTTGTGGCTGCCAGCCCTTAGAGGCTGGAGAAATGGGGACTCAGGGCAGGAGGGGGCCGAATCAGCTCTGGACCTGCTGTCAAGGTCAGGCGTGGGGACAGGCAACTTCAGAGGGAAAGAAGGGCAGGAGAAGGGGGAGCTGAGACTAGAACAGTCACTGATGGCCCTGCGTGTTGCCCACACCATGGGCGCCTCGCTCCCTGTCTTCCTCAGGATCCTCCCAGCAGACAGCAGGTAGGAACCCCTTCCCGATGCTGCCAGCAGGAAATGGCTGAGAGGTCAAGGTCCCCTGCACCCAAGATTGCAGTGCTGGGTCAGAGTAGGGGGCTCGTTCACCACCAGTTCTGGTGGTGCATAAGTTTGCAGTTAACAACTGCAACTTTAAGTGAAACAACAAATGAGGAAAGCAGTTTTACCACTAGTAGGAACTTAGTCAAATTCCTATTTCTGGTCACAGAAAGTATCACCAAAATGCTAAAGACGTAAAGCTCTTCTAAATATTCAACAATAACTTCTACTCATTCATTCATTTCCCCACCTGCTTATTCCACTTTGGGGTCTCAGATGGCTAGGACCTATCCCAGCTCAGGGCTCAGGGCTGGATGCAACCTTGGATGGGCGGACACCCTTCCACGCAGGCCACTCACCTACTCGCTCTGCCCGGACAACAGAGACACGTCAGTGCTCCTGACACCAACACCTTTGAGAGGAGGGAGGAAACTGGAGAACCTGGAGAAGACCCACGTGCTCACGGACAATGGCCCAACCCAGTGTTTTCGCTCATGGACAGTCTAACAAAGTGATGCTGGATGAAGAGATGGCACTCGGAGACAACACTCGAGCGCCTGCCACGCAAAGGCACTCCCACGAGCCGGGCCCTGTGTGCACCTGCACCAGCAGCTCCAGGAGAGACAGGGGACAGAGACAGAATAGTTGAAGAGCAATCTAGCTCTTTATTGCAATTTCTCAGAGTATTACAGGAGAGCACATCGTCTACCGGTCAGGAGAATGACTTACAATCGCTCTTCTCTGTACCTAGTGGCTCTGCCCACTGCTTTGAAGACCGCAAGAGCAACTCAGTAAGGGCTTCTCTGTAGGGTGAATGAGTTAATCAGGTTTTTACTGCTCTAGCCACTGGCTGTCTTGGTTTCCTTACTTGTCGGGAGCATGGGCGTGGGGTGTGCGTGCCTGACTGTGGACGCCTGGGCATGCGTAAGTGTGCACACCCGAGCCCGGAAGTGGGGATAAAAGCAGTGGTGGCAGTGAGAAGTGGTGTAGCCACAGAAGAGGCAAAACACAAGACAACGTGTGAGAAAGCCCAGAGTGAGCCCAGAGAAAGAGCGTGAAGATTCACCAGAGGCGGGAGGCTTGGTTGCTGCCACCCTCCTGGGCCCCTGCCCTCCTTGCCTTGCCATCCTACAGGGTCACACCACGATACCTCCCTCTCAAAAAGCTGTGTTTCTATCCCCACCGTCCTAAAGTGCCAGCATGACACCATGAACAGATTGATTTTAAAAATAATAAATGTTATAATCTCAGCAGAAGGTCAATACGACTCCAAACTGTTAGAATAAAGATGAGCGTGATCTCTCAGCCCAATTCATATGCTAATGTTATCCCACTGCTTGCTTGAAATGTATAAAATAAACCTCTGCTGAGACCAGAGCAGGAAGACTTGCGCCCAACTCCGATTCCCCTGTTGTCTTGGTGTCATCCGCTCTCCTTTTTCCCTCTTTAGAAATCTGCTCGCCGACACTGCTCACCTAAAGACCCTGCCCTCCGAAAGCCGGTGATCAGGGTCAGTCCCTGACAGCTGCTTTTCTGGGTAAGGAAATTGAGACTTAGGGTGGAAGGGCCACCCAAATTAGGGTTGAGACGAGGGGGTCAGGCTCTGGTTCTGTGTGGCCCCAAGGCCATTATGTAATGGCCTGGAAAGTCCCCGGGCCTGCAAGCAAACCACGAGGCCTCTTTGCTTTAGCTACCATGCCCTCCCAGACACAGACTCCACTAGTTCAGCCGGACGTGTCCGCCTATTTCATCCCAAGCAGAATAGCGAGAGAATGAATGGGGAGGACTAGAAGGCACAAGCCCCAGCTCTGAGTCTGGCTGTCTATGGAGTTACTGAGGTGCCATCATGAACATGAGACAGTTCCTACCCTCAAGGGATTTATAACTTAACTGAAAACAAAAAAGGCAACCTGGTAGAAAAGGAGATGAGGGCAGGAGCAGACAGTGGACAGAAACAGAAATTGTTTGGCTCCTTCACACAGAAGAAGATGTCCAACCTTTCCAAACATCAAGAAAATGCAACTCGGCCCTCCCTGGTGGTGCAGTGGGTTAAAGCACAGCACTGAGAAGCTAAAGCCACTTCCGCATGAGTTCGATCCCCGCCTGCCCTGGAGGAGACCATATGGCGCAGCAGACCTCTCCTGACCCACCCGCTGCTCCCCTCAGCAGTGTACTTCATCGATCTGCCTGTTCTGCTCCTCACTCTGTCTCTTGTGGGTCCTCTCACTGCCCCTGCACCTCTGGCCTGTACCCCTTTTCTGTATGCACAAATAAATAAATCTTTAAAAAAAAAAGAAAGAAAATGCAATTCACCCAAGCAGGATCTCATGCTTTTGCTTAGAATGGAAGCAATGTGATAGGTGCTAATATCTGTAGCAGGTGGAGGACTGGCCTCCAGACGTCCATCTCACGCTGGCTGGAACTTGTAGACACACTTACTACATGGCAAGGGGAGACTAAGATACTAAGATTGCTAATCATTGCCCTGATGAAAATCCAGAGTAGCCTAGATTATCCAGGTGCAACCAGTATGATTGTAAGGGACTCAGAAGATGAAACAGCAGAGCAGAAGGGTCAGTCTCACAGAGACCACGAGAAAAGCCACACTGGTCACCGGCCTAGGCTGGCTTGGGAGATGGGAAGGCAGACGCTCTCCTAGCACCTTCAGGAGGCAGGCAGTCAGCCCAGTGAGCCTCGTGTGGGACTGCAGACTCCAGAACCATAAGACATTAAAGACTGTTTTAAAACTACTTGATGTACAATAAGTTATCCCAGCAGCCATAGGAAACCAGTAGAACAGCTAATGCTGGCAGTGATCTAAGGAAATGGGCATTGAAATAGAGGGTTTTTGCAGGCAGTTGATCTGCAACTACCACATAGTGAAATCCAGGGTAAATAAGTATCCTAAAACCCAGGAATCTCGCTTCCAGGGGACCCTCGGAAACACTTGTCCATATGTGCAAATAGCTGAGGACACAGATGCTTGAGCCTACAGTGTGATGCACACACAGTGGAAAGTCCAGTAGGTGGGAACAGAGTAATTGACTGTACAGTCATTTCATGGGAAGTGCCAGCAGGCAAATATGAAAAGGAATGAGATAGCTGTTCGCATCTAGATGTCCACAACATAACTGTAATAGAATCAGTAAGTGGGGAGGTAGGAGAACCCCACTTTTGCAAGGTAGAATGGCAATATGCACCTCATAGCATCTGACTCATGGGGGCCCGTAGTAAATATTGCTCAGTGGAGGGAACCACTTGTAGCTACTGCGACAAACAGGCCAACAGGATGCTGACCACGAGCGATGATTTTGGAGCTGATGCAAAACACATGCACATTCCATTAATTTGGCTTCTCATTTCCCAAGAATTTTGTAGACATGCAATTTTCACTGTACACTTCCTCTTCCAGATCTTCAATTCAAAAAATATGAGCTCAGCCCCTTTCAGCAAGCATCTCTATGGTTCTGGAGTTTACCATCTCCAGCAGGAAGAGTGCACATTTATCCAGAGGAATGGAGCCTTTCCTAAATAGGCTGGCTGCTCCACGTACAAAGAATTCCTGCAAAACCACAGAGAAGTAATTTATTTTACTCCTAGATATGGAAAAATCTGAAGCATGAGATCTTGCTAAAACACTTCCGAAACCTCTAAGTCCACTAAAGTGACTGGGTTCCTATGCTGATGTGTTTTTGCTACTTATAAGAGCTCGGGAAGATTAATTCACCCTGTCTCCCCTGAAGAAACCTCGGCACTTTTGTTCTAAGAATCTGCTAGCTTTTCTGTTGTGGATGTGTGTTCCCAACGATCCCTAGAAATGTTTTTTTTTAAGAACTGTGATCATAATAGAGGCCTTGGAACTCCTAGGTGTGAAGAAGCCCTGGAGAGCACAGACTTTGAATATTGACTGGGAGATTTAATTGCAATGTCACCTTAGGTTATTGATTCAACTTCTCAGAAAATGAGGCTGGGAATAGGCCTCTGCACAGAGTGTTGTCAATGCCCTATGATTGGTGGTCATGGCAACAGAAAGCTGTGCAGCGTCCATCCACCCCATGCCTCGTACCCCTCCTTCCCAGAAGCACCCTGCCAGGAGGCCAGCGAAAGAGCCGAAGACCTGTCTTGACAACAGGGGCTGCTATGTGCACT